TGGTGTTCCTGTAAGATTGTCTTCCATCCACCAGTGAATGACATGGTGATGGACCAGAGCACTTCCTGAAAAGGCCACTCTCCATGTCCTGATAGTGGAAAGTCTTCTTCAAACTGAGTCACGCTTTACCTCCCTAAAACTCACACCCACAGGTGGAGCAACATCTCAGAAGTCTAATTGCTTGTCACACAGCAGCCTTCTAAATATTTTTTTAAAGCTCAGGTGTTCCTCATCCCTCCTTTCCCCATTCTTTTATTTCCTAAGTTACCAGACCTAATTTCTGCCGTTATTTCTTCTAAGCAATATCAAGTAGTGATTTCAAAATACCTTCCTTAGGTGTCTTTCAAGAGTTTTCTTTACTTCTGACTTCCTTTCTTGTTACTTATTCTTGGCTTCTGTATATTTTTTAAGTTGTTTTATATGCTTCCTTCTTTACATTCAGTCCCTTCTCGATTTAAAAAATTTCTTCTGCTATTATCTATGTTAAATTATGATCTCAATAAGCTATCTGGCACATGATTTAATAAACTGGTTTTAGAAGATCTGCCTTTTAGTTACTGAGTGATACAGGGCAGCTAAGTTATTCTGTCTTGCAGGCATCGAGTTAATAGCTGCATTCTATGGTTGCCTGTATGCGGGGTGCATACCTGTCACTGTCCGACCTCCTCATGCTCAGAACCTTACGGCCACATTGCCTACTGTCCGCATGATTGTTGATGTAAGTACTGAGTATATCTTGCCTCAGGATCCTTACTAAATTTCCGGTTTTGTTGAGTCGGGAAGTGAAATCTGTCTCCTGAAAACCACCTCCTTTTCATTTATCTGAACAAAATGACTAGCATTTTTCAGTGAAGGAATATGGGAAAGTGATTATTGGTGAGGTACAGAATTGTATTTTTATCATGAACGTTAAGGAGGTGAGGCTGTCATTAGTAATTCTCCATAAAACTTTTTTTATCTCCCTTCTTAAAAAAATGTTCTCATTTTTTCTGCACAGTAGCCAAGGTAATTTGACATGCCAAACTGAATTCTCCCCAGTGTTGGTCATTTTTATTTGGGTTAGTTTTATAATAAAATTCACTTGGCATAGTCTTAAAAGGTATCCAGATCTTGCCCTGGAAGTGATAGAAGTTTCTCAAGGATATGAGAGTTGAAGGAAGTAACATAAATCTGTATTGCATCATATCCTAATTCATGTTACAGCAAAGAGGCAGAATTCTAATTTGTGTAACATTTGTTTCTGTCAGCAGCCAGAGCCTGTGGTGTAAAAGCCATGCTCACCATAGATGATTTTATTACAAAGTTCAGTTCAGCAGAATGCCCTCTTTATATTCTGCAAAGTAGGACAGAGCAGCAGGGAAGGGAGTTTCCTTCTGTTGGCAGTTTAAGGGGAAGTTGGTCACTTTGCGTTTTCCATGTATAGGTGTGAAAGGAGAGCTTAGTTTCCATGACAGCTCCGCATCCCTCAAATTCAGGATATGTTCTAGGCCTAGTACATTTCTCCATTCACTAGACTGTGGCAAACACGAACTCCTGTAGAGATGACCCTCTGACTCCTCTCATTCCCTGAGCAGTACAAAATCCGTGTTTTTACTTTAACATGGTCTTCACGAAATCAAGAGATGTTGGCATCCACACTGAGATTTTAACTATGAAATATTTGAGAATATTTATTTACAGTAACTTGTGAACAGGTCCATCCTTCTGAGACAATTCAGTGTTACACAGTTCCAGAAGGACAAATGTAGGGGACACACCAGCATCCACTGTACTGTTGTGTGTTCTTTGAAAAACGAATACTGTCCTGTCCAGTATGGTGTGCTTTTAGTCCAGTATGAGTTTGCTTTTAGCAGCAGCCGGAGCCTGTGGTGCCACATGGGAACTGAGCTTCCTGGTGCTTATTTCTGTCCATTTGTTTTCTAGGTCAGCAAAGCAGCCTGCATTCTCACCACACAGACCCTGCTGAGGTTACTGAGGTCCCGAGAGGCAGCAGCAGCTGTGGACGTGAAAACGTGGCCAACCATCATTGACACAGGTGAAAGGGAGATTTCTCCAGAGCTACTGAAGGAGCAAGAACATTCATTCCCTGAGATCACCTAGATTCTCATGCCAAAGATGTTTATACAACTCTTAGGTTGCAACACATTCCACCTGCTAAGACAGAAGCAAAACTTCGTGTCTGGTTCACTTGTATTACCAAAGGACTGGATGCTACAGCAACCAGATCCAAAGATGCAGATCACAGTCTGCTAAAAGCTCTTGAAACAAAAAAGTGTCTTGCTCTTACTCTTGGCATCCTCAAATGGTGGTTAGGTTTTTATGCAGAATATAACTGTGTACACGTAAGACCATATAAAATCTTGAGATGATCTGATCCTCGACTTCCAGATGTGATCTAGTTAAAGCAGCATTGGACTAGGAGTCAGAAGACCTGGTTCTAGTTCAAGCTCAAGTACTTATTTTCTATATAATCTTCTCTGAGATTACCCTTTCCTAAAATGCTAACCACCCTTACCTGACTCACGTATTTTACAAGAATGTCAAGTGCAGCATAATAGGAAAGTACTTTAAAAACCATGAAGTACATGACTTGTAGATGATATTCGTGCTAATAAAGCACGGTGGGGGATAAGATGTGGGGATACCTGGAGAATGGTGGTAGAGGGAAGAGAGTGGGTTTTGGAGTCAGAGAGATGATATTTAAATCCTGATACTCTGTTACTCTCCGTGTATCCCTACTAGGGCAAAATTGTCCATAAAGTGGGAGTTGTAATAACCACTTCAGGGAGCTGTAATGATTAAATGACATAATGTAAAGCACCTCACATATAATCATAATAATAACATCTTTTATTGAGCCCTTGCTATATGCCAGTCATTTAACATATATTGCCTAATTTTATCCTTACACCAACCCTATTAGATAGGTGTAAATTTTATCCTCATTTTACAGATAGGAAAACTGAGATATAGGGAGGTTAAATAAGTAGCATAACTAAAATTCAAACCCAGTTGATTTGGCTCCATTCCCAGACTCTTAACCATTCATTTCCTTTCTCCCTGTTTTCAGTAAGTACCACATGGTGTCTGTCCAACTCAGGAACATTTGTATGGGTTTAAATGCAGGGATGGCAGGTATTTGTGGTGGTTATGTGCCAAATGCTGAACTAGAGTTTTTTACATTTGTTACTTAAGGACGTAAGCGCAGTTATATATAACACAAATGGAGTGGGTTGGTGTTAATGATGCAGGTAGATTTACTACGGTTATTGGACTCAGTCGCATTTCAGGAAGACCTGAACTATGGGCTGTGATACAGACAACAGAAAGGTTTCTGTAGGAACATGAGTGACCCTACACTATACAAAAGCTGGTTGAAAGTGATAGATAAATTCTTTGGTTTGACCAGAGATGATTTAAATTTTGGTCACACCAGATGTGACCCACAGAGATTTAAATTTAGAGTCAGAATTATTTCTTGATCCAGAAAGCCATAGGAGTCATTAAAGAGGCATGGTTGGGGCCAGAGACATCCTTAACATCCTTGGTTTTGACATACTTATGAAGAAAATTTGGGAGGAAGGGCAAGGTATATAAATAAATGAGCAAAGGAAAATAATCCCTAATTCTAGGTTTTCATTCTTAAAAATCTATTGTATTAACTTGGAGAAAAACAACTTTTAAAGCTGTCCATGAGTGATACTGCATGTACTAAACGGTAAATAATGAACTTTAACTTGGAACCAGCATGATAACAACTAAGGCTTTTTGAGTTTTTGAGTTGTTTGAAAAGTGCTTTATGTGAATCAACTCTCTAACAATCCTATGAGGGTAAGTATTATAAGGAAACAGAAACAAAGAGGTTAAATAATTCCAAAGTCACTTTAATGGTAAATGGCAGAGCAGAATTTGAACACCAGTCATCTGCTTCCTTAGTTCATGTCTTCTACCGCCTTGTTACTTTACCCCTCACCAACCTTCTAGTAAATACATTTATCTGATGTAGATTTGCTTTGTTTATATTACCCAGTGGTGTCAACCCCAGCCCACTTCTAGGAGTGACATACATGAGCTGTTTGGTTAAATAGGAGAAGCCTAAGCTTCAGCAAATCCCAGGAGCTATATTTGTCCATAGCAAAGCCTTAGAAAACCAGTTGAAGAGCAATGATTTTCATGTTCCAATGTGTCTGATTGACATCAGGTTTTTTTCTTTTCATTGCAGATGATTTACCCAGGAAAAGGTTACCTCAGCTGTATAAACCACCCACTGCTGAGATGTTGGCGTATCTTGATTTTAGTGTCTCCACAACTGGCATGCTGACAGGAGTGAAGGTAGAGTGGGCTGGAGATACTGACTCTCTCTGGATGCTGGCACAATGCCAGGTCTGCACAAAATAGAGCTGACCACTGCCCCAGGGACTTCAGATGTGGAGGCCAACTGCTTGTACCAGAGACAGTAGGCGGAGGATCAAAGGTCCCTGCTATATTTAAATAAAAGCATTGGCTCTTCCGGAATAAGTAACCCCAAGGAATGTGTGTTACGAAGTGTTCTGAACCTGGCCTAGAAGCTAATAGATAACAAGAGTCACAGTTAAAGCCAGTAAGAAACCATAGATTCATATTTCATAGAACTCAGTATTAACTAATGAACAAAAATATGTTACCTTATGTTAGACCTAGGTAGGCTTTTTTTTTTTTTTAAGATTTATTTATTTATTTTAGAGGGTAGGGAGGGGCAGAGGGAGAGACAGAATCTCAAGCAGACTGTGCACTGAGGGTGGAGCCGGACATGGGGCTCGATCTCATAACCCTGAGATCATGACCTGAGCCAAAATTGAGAGTCAGACGCTTAACTGATTAAGCCACCCAGGCACTCCAGACTTAGATAGACTTTTTGAAACAATGAAAAACAAACATCATTTTGAGGAGTTTGAGGGAAATTTGAAACTTTTCAAAACTATCATTAGGGCTTTTTCTGCCTGTGGGGATGCCAGTTCCAGCCTGTTCTATGTTCCCTACTTTCCAGATGTCCCACTCTGCAGTCAACGCTCTTTGTAGAGCCATCAAGCTCCAGTGTGAGTTGTATTCTTCTCGGCAGATCGCTATCTGCCTTGACCCTTACTGTGGACTTGGCTTTGCACTCTGGTGTCTCTGCAGGTAGGAATGGAAAAACAAAGAAACAGAATGAGTGGGGATGTCTTTGGGGCTATAACCATCTCATCCTTCCCTTTGCTCCCTTAATTTGGTAATCTTTCAATAAAATGCTGATGTTTCCAGAATTTGTGCACCTGATGTATCTCTGAAGTTCATTTAGTTTTGGTTATATTCCCTTTTTTTTTCTTGTCTGTTAGTTTTATGCCTCATACAAAAAGTGAGTGATCTTATTACTTGCTCTCTGCTCCATCCTGTAATCCTTATTTTAGAAGCAGAGCCAAGTAAAAGGATGATACTTGGGTGAAATATGTCATGCTTTGACAGCTAGAATGTACCCCCGTACATTCTACAAACAGTAGAATGTTTGGCAGGAAGGAGTATAATGAGATTGGATGACAGCATGTGCCTGGAAAGTAGCATTATGGAATGGCAGATCCCCACTCCTCCCAGGGAACCTTCTCTCAGCCCTGCATTTTCACCTCCCTGGTAGACATCCCCCTGAGTGCTTCACAGACACCTACAACTCAGCCATTCGCCTTGTGTGTCCTCATCTTTGATAGGATGGGACCATTCACCTTAGGGGCTCAAACTAGGAACTTGAGCATTATTTTCAACTTCTATATCTGTACGTCTCACATCCAATTAAGTGTCGTGTCCTTTGTGGCTCAGTTGTTCCTAAACCTGTCTGTACATAAGAATCACCTCGGGGTCTTTAAAAAAGCAAATTAATGGGCCTTCCCCAGACTTACTAATAACTTAGATTTCCAGAGTTGGCAACCGCAATCCCAGTATTTTTTAAATACAGGATTCTTGGGCTCTTTGTGATTCTGATCTATACTCGGGTTTAGGAAGTTGAGGATTCATGGCTGCGAACTATACATATAAAATGTGACTCTGTCATTCCTTTCTTTTTATCCTGGCTGCATTGTCGGGATTCAAGCCCTCATCATCTCTCACCTCTCCTGTCCCTCCCTCGCCAGTGTCTGTGTCTCCAGTCTCTCTCCATGGTGCTGGGCTCGCCCCAGCTTAAAGCCACAGAGACTGCTGCTGGTAAAGCCTAAACTCCTTCAGATGATAATTACGCTCTTTTACAGTTTGGCCCCAACCCTTCTGGCCTCACTTCTCACCACCCCCCATGCATCCTGTGCTATAGGATTTCATACTAGGATGCTATTTCTGACAACTTTAAACACACCATATACTTCTCTGTTTCTTTTCCTTTGCATATGCTGTTCCTCTGCCTGGAATGCTCTCACCACCACCCCCATTTCCTCCAGCCACTGTCAAACTCCTGCACATTCTTTAAGCTCCAGGTCAACTGACACCTACTCAGTGAAACACCGCCCCCACCCCCCGCCCCAGCTTTCCTAATTTGAATGACTTGCTCCTTCTTTTATTATCTTGGTTTTATGATCTTCACATCTCAGTTACAGTATATACCAGTCTGCTTTATTTTAGTTATTGTGTCTTGTGAGTTGGACAGGAGCAAGGTTGATGCTTAGACCTTTATATCTCATATGACCTTACACAGCCCTTCACATGCAGTAAATATTTGTTGAATGGATGGTGTTCTAAAACATCAAGACGTCTAGGATGAATTGATAATGTCAGCTCTCGCCTTTCTTCTTTGCAGTGTCTATTCAGGTCACCAGTCCATCTTAATTCCTCCTATGGAGTTAGAAAACAACCTTTTCCTCTGGCTCTCCACTGTCAACCAGTACAAAATAAGGGACACTTTCTGCTCCTATTCAGTAATGGAGCTCTGCACCAAAGGGCTTGGAAACCAAGTGGAGGTGCTAAAGGTAAGAAGCAACCACACAAGTAGCTGGTCCCAAGAGCCCTGAAAGAAACGGGCCACGCATGACGAGACCCGAGCCGGGCCTGACAGGCCTATCTGCCTGCTTTTTTCTAGCCAGCCAACATTTTGTGAACCTCAGAAATTTTATTTCTTCCACTTTCTAATTTCATGCGCTCTTTCAGGGTTTAATCTGAGTCTTACTTTGTGGAGAGGAAGGTAAAACTAGTCGGGAGGCTGAATGGAAAGGACTTCGTGGAAAGATGAACGAGAACCATGACCCCCAGTAGGATTTTTTTCCAAGAAAATTTGCAGCCCCAGAGTAGTGGAGATTGGGGTGTGCCCCAAAGATCAGGGGAGCTCATTTGTGTGTGTACCCAGGGATGATATGTCTGACTGGCATATGAGAGAGTCAGAGGACACTGATTTTCTTTAATAGAGAATTATGTGGATTTTAAGAAACAAAACAAGAGCACAGGGAAAGGGAGAGAAAAATAAAACAAGACGAAATCAGAGAGGGAGATAAACCATAGGAGACTCTTAATCATAGGAAACGAACTGAGGGTTGCTGGAGGGGAGGTGGGGGGGGATGGAGTAACTGGGTGATGGACATTAAGGAGGGTACGTGATATAATGAGCACTGGGTGTTATAGAAGACTGATGAATCACTGACCTCTACCTCTGAAACTAATAATACATTATGTGTTAACTGAACTTAAATAAGAATAAATAAATAAATAAAAATAGAGGATTGACCCTAAGAAGGATAAAAAGAAATAAGATTCGATCTCTAGAGTGCTGGATTTCTTTTTCTCTCAGTCCCTTCTCTCCATTTTGAAATAGGAAGACATCTAAAGCACAGAAATGGGGAGGTATAAAAGTGGATCGCTGAAGAATCTAAGATTTTTAGATAAAAGAGGAAAGAAATAGAGAATGAACAGATTTACCAGTGGGTAGTGATGTTAGTGGAATGCCTTGGCATTTCTGAAAACTTTAGTCTTTTCCCTGAGTGTCTAAGATGAGAATACATAGTTCCGTGGCTCTTCCTGACCAAAGAGATAGAACAATGGCCCTACTATTCAGTTCTTTTTCTGTTCCTACTAACTTCAACTCCCGGGCCATTGGTGTCTTACAGACCAGAGGAATCAACCTCTCCTGCATCCGGACATGTGTGGTTGTGGCTGAGGAGCGACCCCGCATTGCCCTCCAGCAGTCCTTCTCCAAGCTCTTCAAAGACATTGGGCTGTCCCCTCGGGCTGTCAGCACCACTTTTGGATCCAGAGTCAATGTAGCGATATGTTTACAGGTGACTGTCATGAAATCTTGCTTGATAATAAATGGAAGCGGAGTGTGTGGTGCTCCACAGCAGAGGCTTCAAAGCCAGGCAGCCTGGCGGGAGCCCAGTTCCACTTACTTGCTCTGGGACCGCAGGCTCTTCATTTGGATTTCACGGTGCCTCATTTTGCTCACTGGTAGGATGAAGATAATAGAATTGTTCTTCACAGCGTCATTCTGTAGAATCACTGAGTTACTAGGTACACACGCTTGGAGTCACGCCCAGCAGATGAGCCCCAATTTAAATGTTTACTTCTAGTAGTTTAATGGTACATGATGATGAACCAAGATTTTTGAGTCCTATTTGAATTTTATTAATATCTTACCTTCTGTTTTTGTCTCCTTCTTTTTTTTTTTTTTAACAAAGGAAGCACAAATAAGCCTGTATTCTTTTCTTCAGCCAGATGGCAACTTTGCCATGTTATTGTTGGTGGGTAAATAATAGAAAAGAACTAAGTCTGATTTTAGGGAGCTGGGAGGCTAATACGGTAAATATAGGTAGGGACAAGAGGGAGAGTAAAAGAAGATGGCATACATGGGTGGGTACTTTCAGGGCTTCTGTGACCATGGGCAAAGGACGTTCAGGTAGCATCATGATGATTTAACCTTGGAGCCCCATCACAGACTCCTTACTGTCCACTTAGGCCAGTGTTGGTTTTAAAAATCCTGTGGATGCTGGCGTGTCTCATCTCTGCCTTGAGTCCAGGGATGAGAACCCTCCTCAGCATGGTAACCTTTCAGGGCTGCTCCAGCCCCTGTGACTAGGCTCCTGGCCTGCTCTCCCAGGGGAGTGAGGAAAAGAAACATGAGGCCATGAGTCTCTTTCAGGTGTTGACTGCAGCCCTGCCTCATCTGGCTGAAGAGAGGGTGAGCTTTCTGAATAGAGTTTGGATTTTTCATGTGTATGGCTAAATTATCTATTTCTTGATTTGAGAATGTGAAATATGGAAACACAATTCATTTAAATTTTAAATAAACGGTGCACTGATTTCTTTTTCTTTAGGGAACCTCAGGGCCTGATCCAACTACTGTGTATGTAGATCTGAAATCATTGAGACATGACAGGTACAGTAGATGTATTATGCTCGTTCCCTATTTGAGTTTCTAAGCATAAAACTCTCTCCCTCATTCCTTTTGTTTGTATCTTCCAGGGAGGGATGGGAAGAGGGAAGGAATTTGTTTTTATTAATACCTGATAAGATTTATGTTTGTAAGAAGAAAGCTCTAATTCTCAGATACTCTCAGAACAGCTGTGCTATTCTTTAATATTAAAATGTAATACTTAGTTCCTGCCTATGTAAAACTATTTTGTGACATTTGATATAAAGTGAACTAAAATGGGTAAACTCTTTCCTCTGGGAGTTTAAAAATAAAAGATGGAACAGACAAAATAAATGAGGCAGAGTAGGGTTTTTGAAACAACACTTTATCTAAACCCCAGGAATAAAAGCCCTCCTCCGCATCAGCTAACGGGAATTTTAGCTATGTCCCAAGGTGAGTGCCTGGTCCTAGGGCTCTGGGACCTTTGCCAGGTCCCACCGACCTCGGCTGTGTTCACTGATGTGCCCCGGGGCACCGACCCAGCCTACACAGTAGAGCATCTCTCTAGGACAGTGGTTTTCAGTGGGGAGAATTTGCCCTCCAGAGGACATTTCACAACGTGCATAGATGGCTTTGCTTGTTACAACAAGAGGGTTGCTACTGACATCTAGTGGGTAGAGGCCTGGGATGTTGGTAAACATCCTACAATGCACAGGATAGATAGCCCCTCGTAAAAAATCATAAAAGAGGGCACCTGGGTGGCTCAGTTGGTTAAGCAACTGCCTTCAGCTCAGGTCATGATCCTGGAGTCCCGGGATCGAGTTCCGCATCGGGTTCCCTGCTCGGCGGGGAGCCTGCTTCTCCCCCTGACCCTCCCCCCTCTCATGTGCTCTCTGTCTCTCTCATTCTCTCTATCTCAGATAAATAAATAAAATCTTTAAAAAAAAAAAAATCATAAAAGAACATTATCTGACCCAAAATGTCAGTAGTGCCAAGTTTGAGAAACTCCGCTCTAGCATGAGAAGGAGAGAGAAAATAAAGGTCTCGGGAGGGCAGTATATAGCTGTAGTAGACGTGGTGCAGCCATTTTTTCAAATACACATATATATGTATGTATGTATATAGTAAATACTGTTCTTCTACAGGGTTCGTCTTGTGGAACGGGGTGCCCCCCAGAGTTTGCTTCTCTCAGAGTCTGGAAAGGTAATTTGTTAACCATTGGAAGTTGGTCTACCTGGGAAATGGTTCATTTTATTTGTTTTTATTTTTTAATTTTTTATTTTTTTATTGGTTCCTTTTAAAGAAACTTGAAACCATGTAACATAATAGTACCCAGGGCAAGCCTTAATTGAAATCTGGAGATAATTCAACAGTTTCACCTTAGCTAATACTTTCAAATGCATATGGGTACATAGATAAGAATTGTAGATGTGGACTTTCTTAATTTCCACAGATTCTTTTTAAAAATGCAACTGACGTGTTATTCTTATTTGACAAATCAGCGAAATTCAGTGTTCATTATATTCAAGGTGGAGAAGTGAACAGCACTTAGAAAGAGCCAATTCTGGCTTTATAAATGTTACAGGGAGAAAAATAGGGTGGCAGTGGAGAGGTGTGGTTGAAGATCAGGGAGGGCATGCATGTGTTTAAAGCTGAAAGAGAGGGGCGCCTGGGTGGCTCAGTTGGTTAAGCGACTGCCTTCGGCTCAGGTCATGATCCTGGAGTCCCTGGATCGAGTCCCGCATCGGGCTCCCTGCTCGGCGAGGAGCCTGCTTCTCCCTCTAACCCTCCCCCCTCTCATGTACTCTCTCTCTCTCTCATTCTCGCTCTCTCAAATAAATAAATAAATCTTTAAAAAAAAAAAAAAGCTGAAAGAGAAACCAAAATGGGGAAGGGACTACAGATATATAGAGTGTGTGTTTATGGGGATAAGATATCTTAGATTAGAATGAGGCTTTACAATGTTCAAGAAGAGGGGTGCCTGAGTGGCTCAGTTGTTAAGCGTCTGCCTTCGGCTCAGGTCATGATCCCGGGGTCCTGGGATCGAGCCCTGCCTCGGGCTCCCTGCTCAGCGGGAAGCCTGCTTCTCCCTCTCCCACTCCCCCTGCTTGTGTTCCCTCTCTCGCTGTCTCTCTCTCTGTCAAATAAATTTTTAAAAATCTTTAAAAAATAAAATAAAATGTTCAAGAAGAGACACAGTTACTGTCTTAGTCCCGTTGGGCTGCTATCACAGAATGCCATAGACCGGTGGCTTATAAACAACAGAAGCTTACTTCTCACAGTTCTGGGGCCTGGAAAGTCCAAGATCATGGCACCAGCAGATTCTGGTGAAGAATTTTTGGTTCATAGATGGCCGTCCTATTGCTGTATTCTCACATGGTAGAAGGCCCCAGCTCCTAATACCATCATATCGGGGATTTAGGTAGATTACATACAACGTATGAATTTTGGAGAGACACAGCCTTAAGTCTGTAGCAGTTCTGAACATTTACTAAGGGTGATAGAACATCAGCATAAGCTAGCGAGTCTCTCATTCTTTTGAAGAGATAGCAGTGATGCCTCAGAATTCCTTCTAGTAATTCTGAAGGGCATAGGGGAAAACTATACAGAAAAAAGGGGATCCTACCTAACCTATCATGCAGTAGATCAAGTCCATGGGGCACTTACTCCAGTTCCTCTCTTCCATTTAAACTCTTTGAAGTGGAGTTGGGTTGATCGTCTTACCACGTTGTCAGATCTCCATCCACCTCAGCTCGTGGTTGGGCGCCTCGGAAGCTTTTAGTGCAGTGCCTGACCCAGACCAGTGAGAACGGTCTTTTCTCTTACTTCCTTGAGGTCTTAGATGTATGAGCCTAGATAATCGTTGTAGCTCTTCTCAGCTAACCTCAGACTCTAGAAACCCATGATGGAGAAGGAGGTTTAAGGGACAGAATATGGGTAAGCAGAGAAGCCGTGAGCCATTCTTACGGCCAGCACCTGTTCTTCCTTTTCTCTCCTGAGGGAGATCCCGAGCATGTGATGTCTTTCATGATCCCAGGGGTAGGACCCATTCTCCTGCAAAGCCGCCACCCTCCTCTCTTACTCTTCAAGTTCCTCTCACAAGCTCTTGCTGAAGATAGGAGCAGAACCTCTCACATGATCCCTCCCTGCTGCCCTTTCTGCTTTAAGGGGTTTTCCTGCCATCACTCCAGTGAACAGGATAGATCATGAGAAAGGGCAGTCACATTACAGATTCCTACTGTTATGGTTCTGGGCTGCAGTTCCTCATCCCTTTGAAGGGAAGGTAGACTGATTGGTTCCCTGGTTTATTTTTGAGGATGAACCTTATTATACCTTTGGTCTCCACTGAGGGCAATGCAGTGAGCACTACATCAGTGAGCTCCTGCCTTTGTGCACTCGCTCGCCTCACTAAAGGAGGGGTGGCGGGTGACTGCATTTCTGAGGGATCATTAGAGTTGATTGAGTCTTTGTGTTTTCCCTTTGATGCTCAGATTTTACCTGGAGTGAAAGTGGTTATTGTTAATCCCGAGACCAAAGGGCCTGTTGGAGACTCTCATCTTGGAGAGGTATGTATAATTTTTATCTTTATCTGAAAAGTTGGCAGTAAAGACTTTAGGGTTCACATTCGAGAAGTCGGTGAAACTGTGGATTTAGCTTTTCCCCCATTGTGAATTTTCATCTTTTTTTTAAAAGAGTTTTAATCTGGGCCTCCTGGGTGGCTCAGTCGTTAAGCATCTGCCTTCGGCTCAGGTCACGATCTCAGGGTCCTGGGATTGAGCCCTGCGTTGGGCTCCCTGCTCGGCGGGGAGCCTGCTTCTCCCTCTCTCTCTACCTGCCGCTCCCCCTGCTTGTGTGCACTCGCTCTGTCAAATAAATTTAAAACAAAACAAAAAAAAGAGTTTTAATCTTTCTGTAAAGCTCAAGATTAAAAAGAGGGAGATTGAGACCAGGATGGAGGGAAGATTTCAGCACCCAGACTAGAACTAGTCACACATTGGTCCACTGACATTCCCTTAGTTGAAAAGGAAAATGGGCAAATCCTACCTGTTTCCACCTATTAAGGGGTGGAACTGAAAGGAGCCACAAATACTAAATTTTTTTAATTCATAGAAATTTTATATTCTTATTCTAAAATGTGTCCATCTTTGTATTAGTATCAAGATTTTTTTTAAAAAAGATTTTTAAAAAGACTTGATTTTTCTGCCCTCAAATATTTGAGGAGCACTGATGTTTCACCCCGAAGTTTACTGGGAGCAGAGTTGTAGGTACAGGAGCCAAATGACCTGCGCTCTGCCACTTCCCAGCCTGTAACTATTGAGCGAGTTACTCACTTTCTCTGGGCCTCAGTTTTCTCATCCATAAATAATAATTGCACCCATCTAATTTCACCTAATGAAATTTTGCGACAGTTGGGGCCCCTGGGTGGCTCAGTCGTTAAGCGTCTGCCTTCGGCTCAGGTCATGATCCCGGGGTCCTGGGATCGAGCCCCTCATCGGGCTCCCTGCTCCGCGGGGAGCCTGCTTCTCCCCCTCCCACTCGCCCTGCTTGTGTTCCCTCTCTCGCTGTGTCTCTCTCTGTCAAATAAATAAAATCTTAAAAAAAAAAAAATTGTGCGACAGCTAACTACATTAATACCTGTGTGTGTAATGCACGTGGAACAGTGCCCGTCACGTAATGAGTTTGCAATAAATACTAGTGTTATTACCATTGTTAGCTACTGCTGTGCTGACAGTGCGAATTCAGATACCCCGTAGTGTTTTCCTGAGGGCTTTATACCTTAGCACAGAAGCACAGAAGTGATCCCTTGATGCATTTGCAGGGCTCTGGAAGGGGCTGAGGAATGAGCCAGGGAGGTGGTGTAGCGTCGTGGTTAAGAGCATGGGCTCTGCAGCTCCGCAGGCTTGGGTGTGAGTCCTAGTTTCTGCATCTTAGACGAGTTACTTAACTCCTTGTTTTTTCATCTGTAAAATGGGAATAACAATAGTACAGAACTGTATTGTCACATATGTCGGGATTGATGGGGATAAGGCCTATAAAGTACTTACCTCTCTGTTTAGCACATGGGAAACACTTGATAAATGTCAACTGCCTTTCTTGTTGTGTTATTGTTGTTACTATAACAATGAGAATTAAAAAATAATAATAATCCATCCAAAGAGAATTGAATTGTTAGAGTTCTATGACCCTGCTGAAATTGACCGATGCCCTTTCCTTGTTGTAGATTTGGGTGAACAGTCCCCACACGGCCAGTGGCTATTACACCATCTATGACAGTGAGACTCTTCAAGCTGATCATTTCAACACTCGCCTCAGCTTTGGGGATGCCGCGCAGACACTCTGGGCGCGGACAGGATATCTTGGATTTGTCCGCCGGACTGAGCTCACAGCGGCCACTGGAGGTAGCTTCCTCACCAGCGCTTTCCCTTCAGCCTGCTTTGTTTTGCAGCCGGTAGCCCTGGCTCGCCTTCCTCAGCCGGCCTTTGCGTTGTCCCGTGTGTGTGTATTTAGTCATTCCCTGCTGTGATTCTTGGACCCATATATGAATTTATATTCATTTGAAGCAAGACTTTGCCCCACGAGGAGGAACTAGGATGCAGGCACCCCAGGTACCACGTCAGCATCTCTGAACTGTGGGTGAGCACGGCCGACAGTCCCGGAGACGTGCCCGATGCTGACAGTGCCCCTGGCTGACTCGAACCCCTGCACAGGCTCCTAGGACGGGTCTTTCATCTGTCTAACGGGTGTTAGATGTGAGACTGCTTGGCAAGGCTCTGGTGTGAGCAGTCCCCCCATTACCCTCTGCTCAGTTGACTGTCATGGCTTCACTGCTGCCTGCCTGCCTGCAACTTTTCTTCCTCCTGGCATTAATGGCCATGGTAAAATACCCAACAGTAGCTGTATCATCACTTCAAGAACAGATACAGGTAACTCACTGGACTTTAAAGGCCTGAATTAGAGCAAAGTCATTTCTCCTGAGCTCCTTGAGTCTGTTCCATAGTGACCAGCGCCCATAGTTTCTCCATGTTTCACGGGGAGGCAGGATAACATACTGGGGAAGAGGGAGGTATCCCTCACGAGGTGCCCTGGCTTTGAAGCCTACTTCTGCCATTTGCTTTGTGACCTTGAGCAATCACTGAGCCTCTCAGTTTCCTACCTGGACGGTGGGAATGATACTGTTTCCTGGCTTATGGAAATGATATGAGATTAACTGCCGTGTTTCTGTTGCGTTTGTTATTATAGTCTTTATGAGCTCTTCTTATATGGTGGGAATCTGCTAGACCTCCTCATTCTTCTCTCTCCAGCAGCTTCTAGCACTTTGTTTTGCTCAATTTTTCAGAAATTTACCCTTTCCTGAAAATATTGTATTCAGTAGACCTAGCAAAATCATCTCTTTCTTCAAAATGCAGTATTTATATAGACATAAACCACATACGTACCCTTACGTATACGGTGTGTGCATACAATTAAAACAAAAAAGATTTCTGCCATGTTCTAGCCGGATTACAAGCCTATTAATAACCAGGACTAATCTCTCCATATTCTGTAATCCTACTCCTTATATTTGGACTCCTTGCAGATGTCTAGGAACAACACATGCTCATTTCTTCTCCCTCTCAAACCCATTCTCCCTGCTCCACCCCTCCCCCAGCTGTCACCTGGCAAATTCCTATTTATCCATAAAAGCCTAGCCTGGTTTCGGCTTTTCTTTCCCTGAACCCTTGAACTGAGCACAGGGAGTGTCCTCTGCTCGCCTCACACACACCTCATGCGCACTCCTAGCACGGGGCTTACCGTGTCACGGTGGAACACCTGTTGTGTGTCTTTCTCTCCCACTAGACAGTAAGTGTCTTCAGAGCGGGAATCGTGTTTTGTCATCTTCCCAGCACTGGACACAGTTCCTGGGACATAGTAGTAATAATAATAATCATCATAGCTAATTCTTTTTTAGCACTTAAAATGTACCAGGCATCATGTTAACTCCCTCACCTGGATTATCTCATGTAATACTCACAGCAGCCATGTATTGTTCTCCCTGTCTCACAGAGGGGGAAGCAGGACTCGGAGACTTAAGTAATTGGCTCAAGGTTACACAGCTGGTGAGTGGTGGGGTCAAGTGACGTGGCAGGCAGTCTGACCTGGTGCTCTTCACTCCAATGTTGTATTGTGCTCATTATGTCTGATGAACCAGATTTCTCTTTTTCTTTCTGTCAGAGCGTCACGATGCATTATATGTGGTGGGAGCTCTGGACGAAACGCTAGAGCTGAGAGGATTACGATACCACCCGATCGATATCGAGACCTCAGTGTCCCGGATCCACAGGAGCATTGCTGAATGGTAAATGCCCCCGCACAGAATGGGTTTGCCGGCCCAGCTGTAGTGTAGTGTCAGTTAAAACTGATCTAAGTAGTCAGCCATCCCTACTAGATACCCGCTACAGACCTAGAACTCCTAGGAGAGTAAGAGAGTAAATGGACTGATTCTTTCTTGTCGTGATGTGCCGTCTGCTGCGGCAGATGAGGTCGTGGAGACACTGAGACAGGCTCTGTGGAACCACCAGGGAGTCGAGTACTGATAGATTCTTACCGTTGGAAGAGATCTGATCATCTGTCTCTAGAAAGTCAGTGTAATATGGTGGAAAGAACCATGACTTGAAGTCAAAAGACCCAACTTGAAGGCCCAGCTCTCCCACATTAGGCAGCTTTTCTCATGTAAAATACTTTCTCTGCTATTTCCTAATTATGGGGAGGATCAAATGGGAATGTGCTTCGCAAACTGTCAAATGGTAAGCAGATGAAAAAGGTCATTATGACCTCATCCAACTTCCCTCTCAGTGTAGGAATTCCCTCCACATTATCCCTGATAAAGAAACATCCAGCCTCACACTGACTAAAAATTCCTTAAAATTAAAACTCGATAGTTTTTACCTAGTGGCTTTCATGCTGGATTCTTGACAATACAGAATCCACCCAGTTTTTTTTTCTACATTTTTAATGCAGTATGTCCTTCCTTGGTGGTGGTTTTTTTTTTTTGTTTTTTTTTTT